TTCTAAAATCGGGAGAGATCGTAAAATTTGTTCTGATTAAATACTGTTGGGATTTTGACAGTAATCGTTCGGAACTGAGCATAAAAACAGTAACTGCTTTACGTTTGTGCATCGAAGAAGGCTATCTTTTCAACGTTGGAGTTGATTACTGATATCGGCCCCAGTTTTGTTTGACAAAATCGACTCACTTGATAACTTGAACTATTTGTATTCTTTTGACAAGATTCAATGAGCCATTGAATGTAAGTGACAACAATGAATATTTGTAATTCAGCTTGAAAGAGTACCACTAACACCAACTGATATATCGATAGTGTTCGGTGGTGGCGGAACGGGTGCATTTTTATTTGCAATACCCTTAGCATATTTACTACATCGTTACGGCACTCGAATCGTGTTCGGTTCCGTATTATTAATATCTTCAGCAGCAACTGCTTTATTTCCATTCACCACTCAATACGGCGTTATTTGGATGGTTTCTGCTCGACTTCTTCAAGGTTCAATTCTGAATTATAATAGTACACCTCAACAATTCTTTCATTTTCCATTGGACATTAAAAATTTTTAAAGGTTTATTATGAAAGGTGGCCAGTCATCATCATTATCCGAAGTCTTTTTTTAGTAGTAATCAGGAAGAGTTATATCATGATGAAATTAAGCAATTAACTACTTTCAACTATTTAGGTGTTGCCTTAGCAGCCGTCATGCCAATGTTAGGATGTGTCAGTTCACAATGGGCACCCATCACTGAAATTGGTTAGTTTTCTATCACCATTGAACCTCATCCCGTTCGTATAAAGGATGTTCATTCTCCAAACGTGCGATATGTCTTTTCTACCGTTTCAATACTGATGCCACCAGCCAAATCGTATTTATAAATGAGAGTTGATGCATGATTAAGAATTACATATTTCATTCTCATTCTTCTATCATTTCGTGCGCTGAGATCGATTAACTGCTAAGATTGATCAACCATTTCTCAGACAATTAACATTTATGGCTGAAGTGTTTTATAGCAGAGGGTTGTGCTAGCAGAGATTACTTCAAACGCTGATCTTGATCTGTTTGTTAAATAGATGATTCGTTCAGGTAATTTTGTCACAATGCTCTCAACAGCGGGTCAATTATCGCAAATGTTCACAATGCCAGTGGCTGCACAATTATGCGTAAAATCCGGATGGCCTTCAGCTTATTATTTACATTCGTTGATCTCATCTTCTCTAGCACTTTTATTCATCGCGTTCTATCAAAACTCACCCTCAAAACACCCGTGCGTTTCTGATAATGAGCTCTATCATATCACTGAAGGAGGTAATTACGACTTTTAATTTGTCACCTCTCGTACACTTGAATTCTAATATTTTAATTTGTGTTAGTTTACAGCTGACAGAAAACGTCGCCGAGAAGTGAAAGTACCATATCGCGAAATCGCAACAAGCCGTTCAGTATGGGCCGTGTGGATCGGATTTTTCGGCAATGCATGCGGTTTTCAACTCATCGTTCAGTAAATTTTAATTATTGTCTCATCCCGTTTGATCTTATTCATGAGATATACGACCGCAAAATTACGCTTACGTAAATGCATAACTTCCGTGAAGTGAATTTGTGAGCATCTGTCAGTGTTGAAGAAGACTGCTGATCTTGTTCAAGATTCCATTACATTGTGGTTTAGATTTATGCCGACATATCTGAACAAAGTACTTCGAGTGCCGATTCAACGAACTGGATTATCAGCTTTCATTCCACCTTTCGTTCAGTTGATGGTGAAGATGGTTGCTGGAATTGCATCTGATCGAATCACTTCTATTAGCGTAAGATTTCATTCTCCTTTCGATATTCGTTTATCGAAGAGCGTCGCTGAATCTATCCGTTGTATATTCGAACTATGTTTTCCATTTGATGAACTGATTGATGGCGAATGTTTACCAAAACTTTGGAAAGCAGCAATAATCTGCAACTGAACCAAAAAAATTTCAGGAACGTCGTAAATTACAACTCTTCAATAGTTTAGCTTTGGGCGGTTGTGCAATCTTCTTAATGCCTCTTGGTTTCTTAACACCGCAATATTCGAGTATTGCCATACTCTGCTTCACAGTGAGTATCAGTTGTATTGGCCTGGTTACAGCTGGTTCCATGAAAAGTGCTGCGCTTATTGCAAAAACATTCACGCAGTTTGTTATGGCTGTTGTACAGGTAATTGTTCATAATCAACTATCAATTGATCACATGATCAGTTGATCACTTTTGTTGCTGTTTTCTGCAGGTGACCGAATGAGTAGATAACCGATAAGTGGAGATGAATGCACAAATGAGCAAATGAACGCTCAATAAACGCTCAACTTTCAGCAAGTCGTATGTTTCGCTATGTTATTCATACCGTTTCTGGTGAATTCATTAGCGCCCAACAATACAATTGAAGAGTGGCGTTTACTCGTAATCGTAATAGCGGCGATTCTAATGACCACAAACGCATTATTTTGTCGTTTGTGCAGTGCTGAAGCAGAACCGTGGGCAAAAACACAACAGAATGCGCACCAGTCATCAACCACTCAGCTAACCAAAACGGTGGATGAGCAAAACAGATGAAAAATGAAGCAAAACGATCGATGAAAAATCATTCGACTGACTTGATATCTTTTTTTAGCACATCGTGTGAACTTACTTAACTC